TTTAACCGTTCACGCAGGAACAGCACCCCCGAGCCGCTTGGCCGCCCACCGCCCATCGCCACAAAGACCCTTGGACCTCCCTCTCACCTGTTCAGCCACCACAGCCCCGGTTTAAATCCGAACAGCCCTCTCTCTCTCTTTTTCTCTCTTCCCGTTCAGAACAAGATCACGGAGCTTCACGGAGCTCCGATCGCTGCTCCGTCGACACCCAGCCGTCCAGCACGTCCATACGTCGCCGCCAGCACCGTCCGTACAGTGTCCCTGTATGGTACTATTCACCGTCCGTATGGATCACTGTTCACGCCGGACCGTATGGACGCCGCGGCTGTCACCAGCACCTCGCCGGCCACCGTCCCAGCCCTATCCGTACGGTGTCCGTACGAAAGTACTGTTCACGCCGTCCCCCCGTCCCGGCGTCGCCGGCGACGCTGCTGCCGCTGTCCCGGCCCGTTCCAGCCCCGTTCTGTCTCGCCTTTTTGGGTAAGTGTTTTCCCCAAATGTCATTTAGGAGTCCGGGTATCGTAGGGCATGTTTAGGGTTTAGTTCGGGTAGTTTATGTGGCTATTTTAGGACTAAATTGAAGGCTGATTGTGTGGTTGTTGTGGGCTGAATCGGAGACTGAGTTGGCAAGGAAATTTGCGAGGTTTAGGAGGCTCGATGATGGCTGAGGTGTTGTGGATTGATTGTGACTGAATTGTGCGATTGATTGGTAGAATTATGCCTTGAATGGCACTTTGTATGTGGCTGTGTGGCTCGTGATGGTTGGCTGGTTTGGTGTGTGCTTCGGACTGAATGTGGCTTGGCCGTGTGCCTCGTGTGTGTGGCCGTGAGGTGTGTGACTATGGGAGTGTGATTGTGCAATGAATTTGTGTACCAAGAGTGTGTGGTTATGTGTGCGTGTTCGTGTGACGAGAATGAGTAATCGTGAAATGTGTGTGAGGTGTGTATGTTTGACCATACGTGGTGGATTGTGTGTAAGGCGTGAGGTTGTGTATGACCGTGAGTGTTGCTGGCCATGTGTAAATGTGGTTTGAGTGGAACGAGGGTACGGAAATGTAGGATTGGTTGGAAAGGATCCGTCCTGAGGCGTGTACGTTTACGCGGGACGATGCCGTCCCTGACGAGGTGACGATGCCCGGCCCGACGGGGTGTCGATGCCTGACGTAGTCAGAAGACCGTTGGCCTGATGCGTTTTACGCGGGCGCGGTAGAAGGAAAGTGTGTGTAGGATTCCGTCCTGAGGCGTGTACGTTTACGCTGGACGATGTCGTCCCTGACGAGGTGACGATGCCCGGCCCGATGGGGTGACGATGCCTGACGAGGTCAGAAGACCGTTGGCCTGATGCGTTTTACGCGGGCGCGGTAGTGGTGGAAAGGTTGAAAATGAGTGGGATTTGACAAGACAAGCGAGAGGATTGTGGAAAGTGACGCATGGTGTGAGTAGCGTGCGAGTGTGTTTGTATCGCGCGATGTGATGCTTAATTATGGGGTAGAAACTGCTAGGCACTGTATGGGACGTGCCCAAGTGGTTTATGTCTTATAATTAAGGCACGCGCGCGTCTGTGATTCCTTGCTGTGATGTGTTGGCTGTGTTATTGTCTAACATGCAGGAACGTGCGTGATGGATTCCAGGTAGGGTCGCATGTGATTGTTAGTTTGGTCGATCGTTGTGTGTTATGTGTGTTTTCGTCTGGCGGTACGTGAGTGCCTACGTGGGGTTTGGGGTTGTACACTTATTGAGATTCGTCTCACGATTGTATAACCGCCACTTTCAGACCCCCGGCCCTAAACCCGGGAAGTGCGCCTTTTCTTTTTGGAAGTCCGGGGAGCTGCTGTTGGTGCCCAGTGGAGCTGCAGGCGAGTTCCAGAGATTCAAGCCAGAAATTCCGAAGCAAAATGGAAGAGGGCGACCCTTAGGTTTTTCCCTATGGTGTTTTAGGGGTTGTATAACTTGGGTTATCCGATAGTGAAGTTAAGATAACCAAATCCCTGAACTTTTGTTTAAACGGTGACTGAGGATGTTAGTCTGTATTTACGTCTGTAATATGATGTTTGTATATTTGGTGTTGTATGAATATGTGGTTGCTGAATTGTTCTGTTGTTCTACCCCGTTGTCGTCATTATTTGTCCGGGGTTTTGTTATTCGCTTCCGCATGTGGCTCTGATGTTTAGGTTGGGTCGGCGACGTTCCTGGGACGTCACATCGTTTCGACCGGAGTAGGGGATGTCGCGAGCTCGTTGGGGTTCGGGGCGTGACACATTCGTATTGCAAAGTCTATGTGAAATACAAATGCAGAATTTCGATCATTAGTTCATGGGAGTGTAAAATTTTTAGGTCTCTCAAATTGAGTGAACGACCTTTCAGGACAGAACATTACAAGTGCATGAAAACCAAAAGAAAATGTCTGATCATTGTCTTCCTTCGACCGCGGAATTGGTGATGGTGTTTGTGGACAAGATGCTTTCCCGTTGCGACTCAATATCGTGACTTAGAATCTGGCTTTGGAAGGTGAATGTAGGCGGTCTCGGCTGAGGAAGTTCTGATTCACCACTCAGAATCAGAACTACAGACAACATGTTGGGTCGGTCCGTCGTGTGGTCCTGCTCACAGAGAAGCCCTACTTGAATGCATCTCATGGCTTCTGATGGCAGACAAGTATCAACAATTGCTTCATCTGTTAGGTCTAGTCCTCTATCTTCACTCCACACTTGCCATGCCCGTAAGAATCAGAGGACATAGGGCGCATAAATGGCCGAAAATATTATAGAAGATCACTCGAGACTGATTAACTCCCACTAACATAGGAAAGAAGATTGAAATGCTGGCCACGGTAGTATAAGCTTGTGTTCTTTTTTCCAGCAACGATCTCAAGTGGCAACACGTCGAAGCTATAGACATCGGATTTCTCAGAAAATATCCCTCCCATGGCATACTCGGGAGTCAATAAATTTCTTATAGAATTGACTTACCAGGCCAAATTCAATTGTTTCTAGAAATGGAGAATTGTGCAGCATATTGAAAAATGGCCACCATTGGAAGTCGAAAAGCCCTAGATCCAAGGATTTTAAATTACCAAAGATAGGTAGATCGGAATAGAGCTCTACTGCACCAGTTAGAACCTATGAACAAGTGAAAAAACACACATAATTTATCTTTGAAGTTATTTCCAGCTACCAGTAGATTTGTCATAAATGAACTAATTTGGGGTTTCTGGTAGTCAAAAAATTAATTTTGGGTGAATTTGTCGCATGTGTACCAATTTAGAGTTTTTCGTGGTATTAACCCTATAATTTATTTGTTTTATGAATTTATTTTCGCTTTTGCGAGTTTCCCTCAAACCAATCTGAAAAAACTAGAATATATTAGTTCAACTAATGGGAAAATAAAATTTTGATACTTTTTCTCAAAATTAATATATTTCCAATATTTTTAACATAAAGCAAATAATATTGATCCTTTTAAATTTTCCTATGCGATTCTTGTTAAATCTCTAGAGATTGTCAAAAATACAAACACTAAGGTATTATTTGTTGGATGTGGTGTCCACCGCATAGTTACTCCAAGTTCATCCTTTTACATGCTACCAATTGATAAAGAAACAAAAGGTTAGACTAGATCACACTCTAAAATAGAGTACTTATATTTGTTGTTCAAAATTTGAGCTCGAATAATTACATGCTAGCACATTTTGGGAGTCGCATTAGAAAGAGTTAACGAGCGCTAAAATTAACTTTTAGGGTAAAAAAGACAAACTCCCATAGTATCATTAAAAATCCGAAAATGATACCTCATAAAACATTTATCCCAAAGTAATTTTCGACCCATAGAAAAACTCATACCGGTATTCATACAATGTATTTAGTCCAAACTAATTTTCGTCTTATGAAAAATCCCAAACCGATACTCTAAATCCAAATCTACCTTCCACTTCAGATCCCAGACTGCTAAAGGAGGGTAGATTTAGGTCAGCCGTATCGGTTTGAGATTTTTTGTGACACGATAATTAGCTTGGGACAAAACGAGTATACCGGTGTCTTTTTCGAGACCTGCTATTTAGGCCCCCGCTCTTTCTTTTTCATTGAAATTTACTCTCTTTTGAAACCTGCTGTTTAGTGTTTAGGCCCACAGTCTGGATCGTTTTTCGCTGTTCATTCATTGTTGCCAACAACCACTGACTCACAGTTCAATAAGTCTGCATTGCATCTATCTAACCCCATCCAAAGATTAAAAAAAAAAATCCTTACAATATCGCAATGTGGGTCCACATAGATTGAGGAAGATGATATGCATTTTATCATAACGAGCAGCCAAGACCAGCAATTACTCTTTAGATGACAAATCTGCAGAGGTTAGTAGGGAGCAACAAATGTATGTGCAAAATGTGAGAGCAGTGCTAACTTTTCTTGAAGTGTAAATAGTTAAGCAAACGAAGTGGATTATAGTTTATATCTCGAATCTAGTGTGTAGTATTGACTAAGGTGATGCGCATTGGCTTTAAATCAATCTAGTGGAATTGACGAAATGAGATGAGATGGTTTTGCATACGAAGTTAGAACAGTTTGTAGGCACCTTACTAGATATCTATCAGCAGCAAAGTATTTGAAAATTGATCATCTTACATGAGATTCCAGAATCATGACATAGAATAATTGCAACATCTAAAATTCTGCCAGTTAAACCAACTAAATTTTCGACCAAAAAAACAACTAAAGTTTGAATTAAAACCAACATGGAGTTAGTCATCGAGTCTGAGCTACAAGGCACAAAGACAACACAGTAGCCAGGAAACAACTTCGTACTGAGCTAAGTAAACTAAACCAAAACAACACAGAATGATCAGATTAAGAAAAGACTACAAACAAAAGGGTTTTGACTTGATCTCTTCTTTTGTTAGGCAAAGTCAATGCCCGAACCCAAGCACTTTCACTTCTTGTGGTAGCAGCTTCTCTCTTGCAACACCAAAAAGACTATGCACAGGTGCGTTCTTGACTTCCTGAAAATTTTTGGGATAAAATATCTTCACTTTCGCTTTCTCTCCAGCTCTTGTTGCTGCATTTACAAATCATTGATCAACCCAAAATGAAAGTGTCACTGTGCTTCGGTGCTAGATATTCATTCAAACTCATGTATATATATGCATCTAGTTGTCAAAGGAGATCATCACTAACCATAATAGTAGTTTCTTTGGTCATGGGTTATCACCCGACACTGACGCCTTGATTCTTTCGACAGTGCACTTGATCAGGTTGTTCACAGTAGCCACCGACCCGAGAGAGAGTTTAGCAGATGGTACAGTGTCAACCAGGATTTGAAATGCCACTGTCAGTAGCGAACCACCGGAGCCGATCTCGAGAATGTTTCCTCCACCAAATTCTGGCCCATCAGGAAGTATGGCAAAACCTGAGGGTAACAGCGCAACGTAGTCGGGGTCGCCGCCGTTTAGTACGACGTTCATAGCGACGATGTCGACCGGAGCGTAGATCACATATGCCCCCACAGAATCTGTGCAGCTTTCTTGCAGTATAAGCATGTTGCTCTGGCTCGAATTTGCATTCTGCAGCTCAATTTACAGGTAAAAACGTCAGTCCCAATTGATGCGAACAGCGTGATCTTTTTGACCTTTCTAATGTGAGAATAGTTTCCTTTTGGTGATTACTTACGTTTACACGGAGTAATGAGACGCTGTTGCCAGGGTCACGACCATTTGCTATATGTGCCATTTCTTGAACTTGTCCCCCATTTGAAAGTATATCCCACTACATTGATCACAATTCACCACAAATGAATAAGCAACAAGCAACATGAAATTGATCCCTTCATCGGATTTAATGCATAATTTAACTTGGCAAGACTCATCTGCATTTGCCACAACACCAATTACTCGAAAGCTAACACGCCATGGACATCGCATGAGGCAACAAATCACAAATCATTAGTTCAACTCAAACAGATACAGACAAGAAAATGTTGAATTTCTGTCTCTACATGCCTCTTGGTTAAGAACTCTAACTTATTTATAAAGCCAATTAGAAGGAAGAGTTTGCATCTCCATAGACAACTTTAATAGGAATCTAAGAATCCAAAAAACATGACATATGTCCAAGAAATGAAGCCCAATTTTCTTCCAATAAAGAAGCATAAATTCCCTACCTCATTGCGAGAGTTCTCATCACGGAGGAAATCAAAAACCCGTTTGGGGGGAACCGGGAGCCAGAAGGAAGTTGCGGCGCTTAGCACAATTCCGGGAGGCCTGCCTGGATCATCCATGCTCTTTCTTGTCATGACCCTCACATTATTATCAGAACCAGCTGCTGATAATGTTGTCCAAGCATGTGCAGTTGAAGCACCGACACCGCTACAGAAGCTAAGCACCATCCTCTCAGCCAATTTCAACATGCTCCTCCTTCCTTCTGGGCTCGTTATCACTGTGCACATATAATATTAATTGAGTTATCACTAAAGCTGGCAATGAAACTTATGGGGATTCCTGACGGAAAATTGTGAAATAGGATCAATACATAGATCTCCTGATGGTATGTTATTGGCCATTGAGCTCGCGAGACGTTCACACTGCCGGTCCAGTGTCGCCACCCAACGTTTCGCTCCAAAGGCGAGGCCGCAATTCACTAGGGGCCTATATATGCTATGAACAGCTCTATCATCAACCTCTACATGTTCGACCCATGTGACCTGAAAATGGAAAATGATACAAGAGAATTTATACGGCAGAAATTATGTATGTGAAAAATGAGGTGATTAAATGGGGATGTCTCATTTCTAGAGAAGAAGAGGGTCAAGGAAATATATGACCACCTTTGAGTAACCATTAGGCAATTCTTGAATCAAACAACCGGATGGCCTTCTCCGACTCCGTAATATGGGATTCCCTCGTATATTGTCCAAGGAAACATCGACCACAGCCCACGTTCCATCGCTGTGTTGCTTACAATACCTCACAAAATAATTTTCTCGAGAAGGAACAAGCGGCGATGGGACCTGGAACTCGGCTGTCATCTGAAAAGTTAATGAATGGGGCTTCTTAGAACGGAGTCGATGAAAAATAGTCAGTTAGATTATTATGCAAAGTGTGAGTGTTACCACTTGCAATGCACCATTGTAATTCCCGGCAACACCAGTTGATAGGACTTCTATGGTCATTGCTCTTGAGACAATGCCACAAAAAACACCTGACCATTGATTCTGAAAGACAAATGATTTTAGAAAAAAAATGAACCAATCAACTGCTCAAATCGATTTTAAGCAGAGTAATAAGTTACCACATCCATGAGTATTTCGACAAGGTTAATGTGATTCATAATAACCACTGCCGATTCTCTCGAAGCTTCCGATTTGAACCCTAAAGGTTTCGGCCCAATTCCTCTAGGGAAGATCCTAAAATATTCATCTTCATTCAATATCTCCGATGGTTGGCCACTGCCTGCAGGAATCCACAACGGTTCTCCTCCTTGTGCCATCCTAATCAGTTCCTCCATTGCCGCGACCGCAAGCTCGATGATCAATGGCTTATCTGCCTCCGAAGGCATGGATACAGATCTTATAAGATCAATTCCCCCATACATTTCTCCAACGAAACCTGATTGAGCCGGGAATTGATCTGGGGAGCGGGATGACATGTGAGGAGGAAGATGAGGGTAGTTAGAAGCCAACGGCTTCCCAACATACTTTGAAGCAATCGCAGATATCCTATCTATCTGCAATACAAGAAAGAGGGTTCAACATTTTTTCATGGCCCGACATGTGCTATTCTTGTGAGTCATGAGTTGAGAAAGTGCAACAACCAAGTGTACTTATATTCCTATGCTACCTCATCTTTCAAACGAGCATTTTCAATCCTCAGATGCTGCTCATCAAAGGACATTTCACCAAGGGCGGCAGGGCCGCCGCAGTTAGGGCAGGTGGCGGTGCTGAGAGCTTCCCTATACCTCGTGTTCTCGGCACGGAGCTTTTCATTTTCAGCCTTCAGAATCGCATTCTCGTGGCGTTCATGTTGGGCCTGTAAATTAGAAATCTACCCTTCAGCACTTGTATAAGCATCGACTCCAAAACGCACTCACTTTAAAACAATTGTCAACTACCCCCAAAATATGAATCTCTCAGTTACATCTATTAGTTAGGCCGCCAATTACTGTTCATATGTGAGTACGTCATTTTTGCATGCGCATTTTGTAGCTTGTATTATGTAATCATTACCTTCTGAACATAAGATCTAAGGAAGCTATCCGTGGTCTTGATTATGTAATTTTATAAATCTTATTCGAGGAAATATAGATTTTGCACATTCAAATGCAAAGTTTTAATAGAGAAGTTACCTTCATTTGGGTTCGCTTATTTTGGAACCAAAACTTGACTTGCAAAGGCTCCAACCCTAGCTCCCGGCTCAGTTCCTTTCTTTGTTTGTCATCTGGGTGAGGGCACTCCTTGAAGAAACTAAAAAATATAAATAAATATAAGAGAGAGAGAAAGAGAAATATTTCACATACCCAAGTAATTAAACCACTAAAATTTATATAGAAAATAAGAAAACGCGTTCATTATGTTGTTCGCTCACCCTTCAAGCTCTTGGATTTGACGCTGAGTGTGGCGATGGTAACGCTTTCTCTTCTGGCGTTGACCATTGTTATTGTTGTTGTCATCGTTGTTGGGATCTTGAACGTCGTCACCTGAAGGGTCGGGTTCCATGGTTTCAGTGCCAGATTTGGTCTCGAAATCTTCGATGTCTCTCAACTTCAACACTTCGCTCTCGGAGCTTCTCGCGCTAGTCATGTCAAGCAAGTGATGGTGGTTCTCAAACATGTTGGGTTGAAACATTTTTGACTGATTTTATCCCCCTCAAGGCTCTCTACTCTCTGCAAAGTGTGAGACTGTGAGAGAGCAACCCACTAAGAGTTCTTTTCTTGTCCAAAATATATACACATACAAGAATTTTAAGTGACCCTCAAGTTAGAGAGAGAGAGAGAGAGAGGAGAGACAGAGACAGAGACAGAGAGGGAGGTTAAGTGATAAGTATGGACTATGGAGCTCTCAAAAGTCAAAAGATCTTCTACTACAGAGAGCTGGCAAGCACACATACATGTAGGTACAGAAATACATGGAGTTGTCTACTGAACTTTCAAGGGCCAAAATGAAGACTAAAAAATAAAAGAGAAACTATCTCTTCATTGAGAAGGGTCGTGCCTTAAATATTTTTGTATCAATCAATGAAGCACGCCCAATAACTAATGAACTAATTCTTCTTCAACCCATTTCAGATTTAGGTTTATATCTCACCCACAGAAGCAGGGACTAGCAAAACGTGATGTGGTATTGAACAAAGGAAAAACAAGTGAAGCTCCAAAGATCTGAACAATATATGGAAACAAACACAACTTGGGTTATGGAAGATGAAATGGAAAAAAATCACGGAAAATTAATTCGTGGACCTCGAGTGGCGTTTATCCCCAAAGAGAGAACGCCGTCTTCACATTTAACAAAGCCGGAGCGTATAACTCCGGCAAACACATAAGAAAACCCTAAAAACCAACCACATCTCACTCATTTCTATCCGTAGGAAGTCCCAAATCTTCCTAGATGTGAAGAAGAAGATGCTTGTAGGGTTAACAATTTTCTTGTTCTTTTTCTATGAGCAATTTTGGTGGGTTGATTTCTATGAGCAAGATAGATAGTGAGGCTTTTGTTTACAGGTTAGCCGAAAAAAGGGCATTAATGACGTGACCGGGGTTTTCCTTTTGGGGGAGTTTTCAAAATTTAAGGAAAAATGAAAAAGAAAGAAAGTCTCGAGTCTTTGAGCTGTTACGTGCCAAGAGGCTAGAACAGGAAAAAAATGTGGTGTACGTAGGAGGAATTGACACACTCAAGCGAGAAGAAAGCTGTCGAACACTTTCCAAAAAGAAAAAAAAAACGCAAACAATTTCTTTACACCCTAAGTCAAAATTAAATCGTAACGCCCACCAATCTCTCTCAGACTCTCTCTCTCTCTCTCTCTCTGCGTGGGAAAAAAAATAACGTAAAACTTGGTTCAAAGGAAAATCAAAGTGAAGCGTTGACAGTGAGTGATCTGGGGAACTGTTTGACAAGGTGATGGTGTATATCACAACGTGTACGCAGAGAGAGAGAGAGAGAGAGAGAGAGAGAGAGACTTACTGAAGAGAGTTGAGGGCTGAAGCTCTGACCGATCGCTTTGGCATTTCTTGGGGCTGCTTGAGAGCTGCTTCTGCTTGAGTGAGAAATGGAGAAGGGAAAAAAGGGTTTTCTTTTACAGAGACTGTACAGTGAGGAAGATGTGTGTGTGTGTGTGTGTGTGTGTGAGAGAGAGAGAGAGAGAGAGGGAGAGGGAGGGAGGAGTGTTTTGGGGAAGAAGAGGAAGAGGGTAGAGGGAGGAGTTATTGCAGAGCGTGTTGAGAGGATGCAATTGCATTTATGGCGGGGAAGGAGGAGAGTTATTGTTCTCTCAGAGAGAGAGAGAGAGAGAGAGAGAGAGAGAGACTCGTTTTTCATGGTTTTGTCATCCACTAGGGTTAAGGGTTTACTCGACCTGAAATGTTAGGATTAGGATATATGTAAGAGAAATGCACGCATAGGTGATAGAGAATGTACGTCCAGAAATGCTAAACTATTGTTAAAAATTTGTAGGTTTTGCGAAAGCATGGTGTTTAATATAGATGATAGTTTGTGTTTTGTGATGTGTGCAAGTGTATGTGTCTATGGCATAGTTGGATGTAGGAATGGACAAGGGGCAAGGTATATGGGACAAGCATAGTTTCACTAGTTGATAGAAATGGTTTTACAATAGTTGGAGGTGGTGTTGTGATGGAGGAGGCACATGATATGGTCTTTTAGTTCATGCTCCCCCCACCTTGCATGAATGATACTAAGCTCTATTTATAGAGCAACTCCACCGACTCTCTCCCACAATTGTTGACCTATTTTACAAGATTTTTCTAGTCTATGTTGCTGACATCTTCAAGCTTCCTCTCCACGCATAAGCTCCTAGAGACTTCAACACTTTGCTTGTGCTTGCTAGACTCTTCTGCACAAATTCATTGCTGCCTAAGACTAGGATTTTTTGAAGGATTCAATACCCATCCTAGAAGTCTGAAGAAATTGGATCGCAAATTCCAACAACTATCAAGACATTTCAGTGAAAACTTCCTGGTTTAAGAAAGTGGTGCAAGTATTGCTAGAAATTTTTAGTATATCGCAGTGAAAGTCTTGCGAATGGTTTTGAACATTCTCAGATGCAGAGAAGCTGCTTCTCGGAGTTGGATTATACAATGTCTCAAATGAAATGGACAATATGAAAAGAAAGCTAAGAACCGAGTATATCTAGCCGTTTACTATTAAAGTTAAAATCACAATAGATGTGGATTACGTAGTCAGCATACATTTTGATTTCTACCATTTGCTCCGACGGTCCAAGGTATATCAAATTCAGTTTGTGTAACAAGAGAACTGTTTCTAGTTCAATTCCAGCAGACGAAATGGATTAGCGAAGTGGAAATGGCAATTACAAGGCGAAGGGGGGAGTCTCCTAGTCCTGGCTACTTCGCTTCGTATGAGGGTTTGGTTGGGAATCATTTTGCAATAAAGGGTCTAGAGATCAGTTTGATAGTGTTTGGGGTCAAAGTCACAATCCATGATTGTATAAAGGCTTAGCCGAAGATCAAGCAAGGAATGAATTCACACCTATGGAGGAGGAAGAAACCCGATCTGTCAATCCTCAACTCACAAGGCACTTAAAGAGCACCCAATTAGATAAGAAATATGCAGAAGAGATGATTTATGTGAAGAGTACATGATCCTGTTTATAACTTATTATCTAAGATAACTAGATCAACATAATGTGAATTATTATCAATCAAAGATACGCACAATCAAGGAAGATATGTGTATAACCGTGAGAGATATAGATAATCAAAGGAAATATCATAATTATCTTTTAACATTCTCTCAAACTCAAGTTGGTGTAGAAAAAGTCATCTGAAATTTAGAGAAAAGTTCCGAAAAAATGCATGGGTGCATGGAGGGCTACGTCGCAACATGCATACGTGGCTACTTAGGTGGTTGTTGTGCGTTGTTGTGGCCTGCTATGCAGGCTACGTAGGATGCCATGGCTGTTGTGCAGGTTACGTGGTAGGAGGCATCATGAGACTAGTGTGGATGTTGTGCAAACTACGCAACGGGAAACAGCAGTATGCGATAGCAAAACAAGCTGACATGGGCGTAACGAACAATGTTGAGGAATGACATTGAGAGAGGGATATTGATAATAATTGAAAAAGAGAACTGACACAAGATATGATCCGTTTGTGCAAACAATCATGCGTTGGGGTATGCACACCCGGTGCACTCAAAGTTTTCTCAAAATAAGAAATATGCAGAAGAGATGATTGTGTGTAAATTCTGCGCGTTTCGATGGAGAGTACACAAGCCTATTTATAGACTTTATTATATGACTATTTAAGGTAATAAGATAAACATAATCTACACAATCATAATAAATATACATATAATCCTAAGAGATATGGAGAATCATAAGGAATATTATAATTATCTTCGACATTAATTAATAATCCATGGTAGACTAGATTCCACTAAAGATTTCGTTGCTATGTTATATTATAGTGACTTCACAGAACTTATCTATATGTCCTGTCAAATTGTTTATCTCTATATATTCCACACAAAAGTTCTGAAAAGTAAGAACAAGTAAATATGTAGAGATGTTGGCCAACATCATCAGCCTCTGACCAATTTTGTTTTGATTTCTTGATCATCTTTCCTCATCCCATCATCATCCTTTCTCCCTTCAACTGACAAATGCTTAATAGTTTGCACATATTGCGGAAGAGATGCATAAGCAATACAGAAAGGATCTTTTGAATTGGATCAACTTTAATCATTTGACGAAATGAATATGAATTTTTGAATCTTTCGAATAATATCTCGAGTAAAGATTATTGAAGTGTTGGTCCGCTTACTCAGTAACGACATCGGCTCGTGTAAAATTCTGTGAATTGAGATACTTTGAGACTGTGGAAACTGTGATTAAGTAGAAATGGGTACTAGAGAACTGTGGATTCATCAAGTAAAATGTTCTCCGAGTATTTTTAGGTTAAACGACATCAAATTCCCTTTTAGATGTTATGCGATGATTTGTGGCTAATTTAGGTACTCGAGTCCCATCGAGCTGAACGCTTTACAAAGGCATATAATATTGGAAAAAATGTAACACGATATTGTTTGTTGTAATCAAGAAATTAAACAAAACTAATAACTCTGAGAAAGCGATAACAAATTAACTCTAACAAACGCAGCCATTGGACGGAGTGAACGAGTTATTGCCTAATTTCGTGCTAGGCATCGAGAGTTCTATCGCCCGGTGCGATGAGGCAGAGACACATGTAGAGCCTCCGAGGACACTCGCCTGAAGATGCGTAGGCTAGCCGCCACGGTCGTTCGACTTTGCCCTGCATCATGTGGGAAAAACCGAACGGATTGTAATAAAATTAAATAGGAGGTGAGGTACCGGTTACCGAATTTCCTTAAGGAGATTAATTCCCTGCTCATGGTGCACTGCAAATTTAACAAACTATACCTCCCAAGATGCAATACCTCGAACCTATTTGGTTAGCACTATGCAAATAAGACTCGATCGAATAGTTCTCGAACCAACACACTTAGAGAAAAAATTGAAGAGAACTTATGTTAAAATGAAGTATAATCCAAATCCATTTGTAGAATTTGAATGAACATGAACTGAAGAGATACATGAATCGAAGTGATACATGAACTAAAGAGACACGTGAACTGAAAAGACATGTCTCGTTTTGTTCACTTTTGTTTATCCATTGACCCATAATTACAACATATAAGACACTAAATGAGATAGAATGTGCATATCTAGCATGATTTTCTAATGGGTGGAAGCAGGGGACTAGGTGCCCATGTTGTGCTGGATGGACAAACACGTTGGAATGGATTCCTAGCCTCGTGCTGGCTTAAGAACATGGACCCTGATAAAGTCCTAGGAAGTTCTTAACTTAAACAGGTGCGGGTTTTTATGATTTTTTTTAGCTATTCAATTTGTTTTTCTTTTTTACCTTCTTGTTTTGCTTTTGAGACGGGTGAGACAGCAGCGAGAGACAAATGGTTTTGACAATGCTCAGAGAGAAGCCACATGAAGGATACATAACATGAGATTGCTTTAGAGAGCAAACTCCAAACTCCAGTGATTTGCCCAGAGTTTCATCTCTGTAATTTTCTTTGTGATCTTTGTGTGAGAAATGGTTTTGGGGCTAGAATCCACGGAGCAATGTACTGATTGCGTTCGTGAGGGAAGCTTGCTTAGAGACAATACGCCATTGTACTCATAATCTCCCGGTTGATTCCGGCGACACCTTTCATCTGTATCTTTCTGGACGTAGGTAAAAGTGCTGGCCCAACCTGGTCATGACACTGTGTACTACATATATTGCTTGATTTACTATTTGATTGCTCCTGACCCTCTGCTCCAGTTGTGCGCCTTACTGGTCGTGACAACACCTGATGCTCAAAAGCAAAGGAGCAATGGCACGCCAACTTCAAAAGACCGGCCTCTTGATGATTCACAAGTCAATGATGCTCTCATCTTCTTCTCATCTATGCTTCATGAATTTTGATGATTCAGATTTCCCCGATCACCATGAAAATCCCTTTTCCTTGAAGCATTTTCGGTGGATTCGGCGCATACCTTATGATTCGTGCTTATGTTGGCAATACTACATATCAACACGTCACATGATCTTCGTGGAAAAAACTTTGTGTGTCGCTTTGACCCTTACACTTTCATAACTTCGGCATTCCTTTACTTTTCTTAACTTTTGCTTTGCATTTGTTGCATTGTCATGGCTAATACGATATGCTTGGATTCCTAACAAGGGACCCAACAAAGTTCTCTATAGATAATGCTAGTGATAGACGTAAAATCTAGGTCAAGGGCAATGAGATTGAAATATTTGCAATACCAAACTCATGTGGGTGAGGGAAATGTAGAAATTGTATATCAAGCTTCAAAGACTATAGTATTTATCTAATAAACATTGCGCTGGAAACACCAAGGAGTCGACTATATCAATGGGCGTGCCAACAAAGGCCTAAAAATCCTTTCCCAGGCCCGCCTATGATGAAAATGTTGTCAAACATTCTATATAAGATTGATTAGGCCTAGACGAGCCTAGCTAGGCTCCGGGTGAGCAGGTCGAGCTCAAGAAGGGAAATGCTTGCCTGATCAAACTTGAGTCGGGCCAGCATGCTGCCAAACCCATGATCACCTCTAGCGAGTGGCCCCACAGAGAGCAACGGCCGCCACCGGCCGCTCGATGCTTCATTGAATGATGTGATGTATTCCAGCAAAAGGCCAAAAGAGATGTCCAATGAACATTGGATTCTCAGGAATCCCATTAACATATGTAAACAGAATTTAGGTGAATTTCTGAATCAGAATAGACTGGAGTGTTAAATACATCGCCAACGTACAAGATCATAATTCCCAGATTTCCAGCTTCACTGACGATTGGGCTCCAATGTTATTACACTATTGCATCCCTTTCATCCATTTTCAGATCACTTTTTAATTGAAATGTACTTTCATAAATGTTCTCATCATTTCATTTGTATCACATAGAAATTTTTTCTCTACGGACATCTTCAATTAAGCAAGCCTCTCACTTCTCTAAAGATAATAAATGAAGAGAATCCAAATGGGCCAGTTTGGAGGTGGAAAGATTAAGCAAATGCTTTCAATTATTTCTGCATCTTTATATCATTCCTTCGTCACCTTCACAATATGAAATAAAAGCTATTCAACCACTTCCTCTTTATTGCAGTAGCCCAAGACCATAGTACATGAACTCAGATATTTATTAATATAATTGACTAATATTGCAAGAAGAATTCCCGCAACTTATAACTTGAGCTTATACTTGCAAACAGAATCTGCTGTCCAGTTTTTTAGAGAGATCGAAATGTTACAGGTTGTATAAGAGGTTGCCTTCTTTTTAATGAACTTCAGGACCTTCACTTCCCCGTTCAAAGCCGTTGATGACGTGAAATTCATGACCTCTCTCGCCAAATCAACCAGAAAATAAGTGTTCATCACCAACCTGTCCCCTAAGACCTCCAAGGAGGTGCTGATGTTGTGCTTCGCTCGAGCTGGGATCGTGTCCGGTGCCAGTAACGCGTCCCCTACCTCGGTGCCATGATAGCTGACGTACGAAGTTGCATTGTGGTACTTGAAGCTACCGTAGTTACGGTTGTCGACCGTAATCGTGATCCCCAACGTGAAACTCAATGAACCCACGTCAAGGTCTTGTAAGGTGACAGATTGAGGGATCAATATGGGTTGTTTAGGCTTAAGGATTGTGAAGTACAGGATCAGCATGACTCCTACAATTATGAGCAAGAGAATGGCCGAAATCACACAGCTGATTTTGAGGCATTTTCGGCTTCCCATATTTTTTTTTCCCTTGATGGGTATGTGGGATTAGAGAGAAGAATGTGACAGCAGCAAAAGTTTTTGGCCTCGTATTAGTTCTGAGTTTGTAGATTTTTCAAGTGCAGAAATGGGTGAAGATGGGGATTATTTCAAGGTGAGATTGTATCTGAGCAGAAGACAATGTGAAGTGTCTTTTGTTGGATTGCTGTTGTTCGTTTCACTGCAAACCTTGATGAATTCATTGGAGAAATCTATAGGCTTGACCTATGACGCTCTTGTCCATCAGGTTGTCCTGATGCCATATGACCAGCAGATACAAATGCTAGGCCATTTGCCCTTTCGAGTACCAAAGTCTAGAGGCCCAAACAAAAGAGCGTTCTGTTCATTTGATTACTTGAGAAACTAAGCCCATTTCCTTTGCCTATGACATGTCAAATGGTTTAGCCTCGGCCCACAGAAACATATTGCCCATGTCTCGGGGTGGCGATTTCTGGCACGAGTGAGAATCCGATCCGATATGACAAGGCAGGGAAAAAAGACCACTAACAGCCTGTTTGGTTGCGATAGCGGAATAAGCCTGTGATCTAATAGGCATTGCGATGTAATGTAATAGGGGTTTAATCATTATTACAATGTTTAGTTTAAGTAATGCAATACCTATTATACTGATTAGTGTCATGGGTGACTCAATTTAATAAGCGGGTAGCATCGGAATTCCCAAAGCGCCCCTAAAATCAGAATTAGAAGGAATATGATAATTATCACTTTAATAGTCAATCGTAATTCATTGAGTTTCATACGTCATATTTGTTATTAGATATATTGTAAAATATGTCTTGAATTTTATGTATTCGGTCCGGTTTATCACCCGACTCGACATATTTTTTGCGCGACCTGAAAGTGGAGAAAAAAATTGAGATTTAGTTCGCGACGCGAAGGGTTGGACCGATAGGCCAAACTCATAGCAAGTGAATAAATTTCTATGGCGGTCCGCCCGAGCTAGAGTAAGCGAACAAATGTCTCGGGGGGTTCGGGGGCTATGCCCCCGAGGAAATTTTTTTTGGGGAGCACTATTTATACCGCGGCTAGGTTTTCTCATTGATATACAGAGAGAATTTTGTTTTCGGAGAGTTTTGTGAGCCGTGAGCTTTTGTCGTTGTTTCGACTTCTGAAAACTGTACTCTCTTTGATTATAGTGGAATCTTGTCTTGCCTCGCTCGTGGACGTAGATCACGTTGTGATCGAACCACGTAAATCCCTGTGTTCTGTATTTGTTTTTCCGCATCTGTTTCCAACATATATAATTTACTCAATCATATATTTATCTTCATCTTAATAATCTATTTATGATTAAAGTTGAAATTTAAATACATAGCATGCGATTATAATCTACAGTAAAATCAATCTAGTATCCACTTATACCGACAAGCGCCTTATTGTCCTGGTTACTGAGCAAGAAGGAATTTGCATGTTATATGAATGTAACCAAACGTAGGATGAGATCAGATTTCAGTTACTGTTCTAAGAATTATTTATGTTCTTTATGGTTCAATTGACAAATCGCCTCCTAAACATGTCAAAAGAATCATTGTCAATGGTCAGGATTCATAAGCACATGTATCACAACTACAATCAAAACTAGCTGCGCTAAACTAACTTGACATAGATTCCCATTTCCTGTGGGAAAATAGGTAGGGAGCGAGCATTCCTCTCCATTGAAGAAGACCCGCGAAGGAAAACCGTCGCCTTTCGCTACTTTAATGCCCGGCGTGAGCTTCTTCGCGAAGGAGATCACGGATTGTTGCTTCCCGGGGACCCGAGGATCGATCTTTGGGTTTGTCCCGTTTGTCTCTCCCATCAAGAATGTCAATCCTGGCAGCCCCTGAAGGAAGATGGTGTGGTTCAGATCAGGAAAGAAGGTGCCGTTGAATGAGTACGCCTTCTGGAAGCCGGGGGCCGCTTTCTTCAATTGGATAGCGGTGAACCAGTTCTCAAAATTGATCTCTTCCCAGTTGAACAGGGTGAGCCGGACGGTCCAACCCTTCTTGTAGTCGGTGTAGACGTGCCAGTTTATGCTTACCCCGCAGTTGTCGCCGCAGGGCAATGGGTTGGGGATGTGGAAGTGCTTCATCTTTGCCCATGCCACGGCCTTGGCCGTCCTGTTCTGGAAGGGGACCAGGAGGGCTTCCGAGGGGAGGAGCATTGCTTGGGCCTTCTGGTTGCACGAATCCGAGCCATCGCAGCCGCAAGCGCAGGTGTTGCAAGGGATGACCGACTCGTTATAGTATGCCGAGAAGGAAACGCAGCAATGAGAGGTCGTTTTCGTTGGCCTCGAGATGTTGCAGACCACTTGCCAACTCGCGATGGCCGAAGTTGTCGCCTGGAGGCCACTGGGGTCTGGGAACTCTGTTGGGTCCACTCGGATTGGCGGGCCGCATCGGTAGTCAGGATTGAGGGTGCCGACAATTTTCCATTTCTCGGGAGGATGGAGCGCGGTTAGGTTTGTGTCGGGCGGGAGCTTGTACACTTGCACTTGGAATACGGACTTCGCTTGGCTCGGGTCCATGATCGACGGTAAGATGCTTCCGTTCCTACAGCAGTAGGGCAGTTTCCCGATCTTTGTATCGTTCGCCCTCTCGCGGGGCAAATCCGCGATGACCGGCTTCTTCTGGCAGTTCATCACTTGGGAGAAATCAATGCTTGTGTAGTACTGCGCCGCGATGCCGTAGATGCAATCCGAGTAGTCTATTTGGTGAGTGTATGCTCCTCTCATTGTGTATATGAACTCCCCTCTCATCCACTCCCAGGTCAAGTTCCAATGGTCGAGGCGGCCCAAAGGGCTGTCGTTCTCAATCGTCACTTGAGCTAGATAGTTGCTTTCGTAGGCTTGGATCACATCGTAGCTAAACGAGAGGTCGCCCTTCTGACGGGGCGATAGCTTCGTTTTCAGTCGCTTGACCTTGTACTTCGGATCCCGAACGCAGCACGCGTACATCGACGTCTCTGCCAAATCCCATTTCTTAAAATATGAGAAATCGCAGAAGGGAAGATCGAGTAATCTTGTGCAACAAATAATTGATCAATCTCGGAGTTCAGGCCGGCTTGCGAAATCACGGTAGGTTTCAGAAGAAATGCAAACAATGCTAAAGAAAATATCCATATGACATGCGCCACTTACTCTTATGTGCAGGTGCAGGACATTTGTATCCATCATTCTCGAGCCGTATCGTCTTTGGCATCGGGACGCCTGGTGGTTTCACGCCAAACTGTGTGCCCGAGATCTGAACTATCGCCTGGATTTGGGTCAAATCCCCTGCAGTCTCAATCGACGTCTTCAGATCCGTCTGAGGATACCCCGAGAGGTACGTCCCATTCCCGACTGAGGCTGGGAAATCCTCGCTGTCAACCAGGACTGCGCCGCCTGCTGATACTAGAATCTCCTGGTGCTGGAACCCAATAAATATCTTCCAGGCCTGGAGCTCGTGCGTGCCCGTGTTCAAGACCGTCGCGGTTGAGTTGAAGGCCCAGGACTGCGCCGACGCATTCTTCACGTGGGGGAATTCCTTCTTCCTCGAGACAAAGTCGTAGGAGATGAAGATGCCATTGCAGTTCTCTTCCGCGGGAGGAGGAGCTGCAGGCAGATCATAATCAGAGTCCTGAGCATTGATGTCGTTCCAAATTGCGAAACAAACCAAGAGAATGATGAACAAGCTCAATGCTTTTCTGGCTTCACTCATGGTGTCCTAGGATTGTAGTGGATTTTCAAGAGAAATCTCTCCAGGAAAATCTCATCTGAAATGCACCTGGAGATCTCATTGATGGGTGCTCTTTTCCTCCTCTCTTCTCGTTTTTCTTTTGTTCAAAGTGATTGAATCTTGATCTTTTGGTTATCAGAGAAAGAGAGTGAAAAGTGGGTGGAGGAGAAAAGTGGAAATGGAGGGGGAAGAGCACAAGTGTGCAAAATTGGGGAGGGACAAAGTCAGCTCTCCATTCTCATCCTCTCAAAGTCACCGATGCCTCTGGACAGTTAACAGATAACGGTTTTTTGGATCTCTTTCACTTAAAAGTTCCAAATGGTGTAGGGTATACTGAGAGAGGTTGAAAATTTTACAAATATAAACGGGGAATTTGAACCATCAACTTGGAAAATCATGCTCCTCAAAAGAAGAACTTGGAAAATCATGCTGGCTTAGGTTCCTCGCGGAATTCATTCGTAACAACCTATATCGATTCCTTAATTCTCATCTGTTTTATATTGCTGCTGTCATTGGAACATCATGGTTCGTATTTGAACTCGGAGCGGAGTTTGTTTCTGGTCAATTGGCTCTAGATTGGTGTAGTTTTCTCTTGTTTCAGAGATCATAATAGCTCCAGTTCAGAAAAGTGAAAACATGTGAAGAAGTTTAATTGATTCTGATCACCTAACATTCAAAAACTGGCACGAAAGAACGTAACGACACTTATTTTTCTGCACTGATACTGTAGTAAGTTATGTGTCGGATGAAGTTCAAATTAGAGACTTGATCTCACCAACACTTGCTATGCATCTGTGCACCGAGCAGCTGACTTCAGCTATTCATGAGGATTTTTAACAAAGGCAGTGACAAATTTTAGGCGATGTGCCAGAAGCTCGATCTGTTAGAGCCTCTAGACAATTCCGTAACATTTACCTCTCAAATGGAACAAGTTAGAGTTAGGAGTCAGAGAAAACAAAACAATTGACTATGTCCAAAAACCAGAATAACACAATATTGGCTTTACAGTCATCATGTAACTTCATAATCTCTCACTCTAGGAAGAAACCTAACTCAATTACTTATGCAATTGAAGATTGATCAACACTTTCCATACACAAAAAATCCCTAGTTATACTAGCACTATGTTCGATAGCTTTCCAACTGTTCCTTCTCATACACTGGTAACCTCCTAAAGAGGCGATCCGAATCTTCGGTACAGACATTGACTGATAAACATCTAGACAGCTTTGGATTTACAAAACCTGGTGTAGTTCTATGAGTGTCACTTCTTGTGGTCTGTCGACCTCCAAGGAAGCAGTTTGCGAGCTTCCTCATGTTCATGGACATTAACATCTTTGTTTTTTTCTCTTATTCAGAAGGCCTCCGACCTGGAAATTACACTTATCAGTTAGGAGTGTCCTCCACATCGGAGGGCTTGGCCTTTGATTTCAGCGCTCTAGAGGGCCTTGACGACTTTGGAGATGATGTCGACCTAGCCTTTTTCCGTTTTTGTTTCTTCAGTCCTTTTGGGAGTTCTGTCAGTGGAGAGTCTTCAACCATACCAAGTGCAGGTTGGCCCGATTCAGATTGTTCAGAATCTACTAGAAATCATCCGAAGTGACAAATGGCAAATTAGAAGAGGAAAACAATATTTAGGGCTCATGGAAATATGACCAAGTTGACAAGAGCCAGAGAGAAAATGTAAAACCATAACCAGCTCATATAGGATAAGAAACATATTAGAGAATTAATTGCTGCAAAACCTCATCTTGATATGATATGGAGAAGATACATATACGTATTTCAGGGGGATATTACTGAAATGACTACAACCAATGTAATATATCCACTGAAATAGAGAGGAGAAAGCAAGGTTTTAAAAGAAAAAGTGCAGGACAAATTATGCTCAAGAAAGATGACGTGCGAACAACCATTAGAAACTGTCATGCCACAAATCTGTCATCTCAAACTGACAAGCTTTCAGAGAGGAAAATAGTGCACCGACATAGAAAAGGGGAAAACCAATATCTATATGGATTAGGATGTGTGTAACATCAAGGATGAAGCTAAGGTTGCAATTGAGAACCTTCAATCTTTTATAGCCCGTCAGATGTAAGTTAATGCACTCCCCATTACTACTTTCAACTCAAAGTAATATGGGAAGGAAAAGAACTAAGAAATAAAAATTTTGCAGCCTGTAGCTTCTTGGCAGTCTTATGGAGGAAAAAGTTTATCATTTGCAAAGAGTAAACTGTCCTGGTGACATTGGACGCACAGAGATAGCACAAACCATGTTTCACTCCAACTGCAAATTAACAGAAGGGAAATCTATGAAGGCAACATACCTCGGGAGGGCCATGAACGATGACCCACCGGATTAGAATCTCCAGGCTCACCGATCGAACGGAGAGAGCCCGAGAACTCGGGTGCGGCCCTGAATTCATTCATCTGCATTATCCGAAACGAAGTGATCACAATCATAAAACAGAATTTCATGAAAAATCAAAAACCATGGAAAACCCAAAGCTATAAGAGAGGAAATTTGTGTGCTTGATCACATACCCAGCTAGGTCCATTACCGGATGGACCATCCCATCCAATATGAGCAACATGCTTAACATCAGTCGGGTACCCGATTTCCATTTCGCGGTCCTTCAGGACTACAGAACGAATATCCCCCATTTTTCACATAATCAATCACGAAGCATCAATCACCCATTTTGATCACCTACATGTGACAGCACAACCCCAAAAAACACAAAGTGCAAATGCATCCAATTTTTCCTCAACTCAAACACAATTATGCTTGCTTCACAAAAGAAAGAAAAGGGGGGGCATTGCTCACCAAAGATTCGGGAGATGTACTTGAAGCTCTTGTAGATTCCTTTGATCGTCATTGTCAAGACAGATGCAACTCGACCCCTCCAAAACAAGCAGCCCCTGAAAATCTTCGACAAGTCGGTCGAAAAGGGATGATCTTTCCTTCTTTCTTCCGCTTAAAATGGCACAACATAATCGAAGTGAAATGCACGAAAGCATCACGCGTTCATACCTTCAAGAAAAGAAACGGAATTGAATCGTTTGAATGGAACGCCTTCACGTTTCTCTCTCTCCCTCCATTAGCCTGCCTGCGAAGGCTCCGTCCTCCATTCCGTCACAATGGGTCTTCACTAATGGCGAAATCTCGGGTACCCTCTTCTCAAATCAAGCTGCTGAGCGCGCGAATGCAGGAATCTCTGCGCATTGATGTGGCGGGGAGGAAGTTGGTGATGCTGACGATGAAGGGTGATTCGGGTTGTCTTCTAATTCCAAAGGGGAAAGAGAGAGAGAATGAGAGCTGGAAAACAGAGGAGGAAGAAAGGGAAAAAAGAGAGGAGATGGAAGGAGATGGATATGAGAGAAACGAGACAAGACAACCATGAATAACCTCCAAATCAGAGGTTGTTGGACACAGAGGGAAACCAAACGTTTGTATCAAAACTTCAATTTAGATTGCTTCATGATATTTCCATTTATGGAGTAGTATGGTCAGACTCTGATACCCCATTGGTTTTAGATGGTGTACAATACAATACCTGCCATTTCGTAAATCGATATCAACCGAGAGGAGTAGCATGTCGCGAACTGAATCAATAGGTTAAGACGCATGTGCAAGGGTGATAGGCATTTGGAAGAATAGATCTCCCGCTATAAATTCAATTTGTAGCAATTACCTATATCCAATAGATTACCATCATTTTGTAAATCAATTTTAGTATGGTTGATATCAATCGAGAGGAGTTGTATGTCGTAAACTGAATCAATAATTTCAGGTGCATGTGTAAGTGTGATGTATTTGGAAAAATAGATCGTCCGCTATAAATTCGATCTGTAGCAATTACCTAAACCCATTGGTCTTACAACTTGATAGCTTAAATTTTTCTGAGCTAAATTAGATGCGACTAAATATAGTCATGTTTAGTCATGGACTCGGGGACTTAAGCTGCCTCGTGATGTCGACAACAAAGGTTATAACACATAATTATATACCGGCTAAGAAAAACCAAATGTTCTAAGAAAAATTACATCGAATATTCAATGTGAGTGTCTACTATTTTTTGAGAAGGAAAATCATTCTATCTACCCAGAAATTTGCATTCTAATTCACTTTAGTCCATAAAAGTTTATATAGTTTTCTCTTTATTCGGGGTGTTGTAATAACCTACACCAATTTATCCCATTTGGATCTCTTAGGGCAGAGAGAACAATTTCTTTGAACCACCAATGTGGCGCTTAACAAGAAGTGCCCTCCAGCACGACTTGACAAAATCATACATCATGATGAGGCATCTTTTAGGTTTTCTTGAACTGGTTTCTTTATATCCATGAATGTGAACCTGAATTTTGCTGAAACCATAGACTCAAATTCACGTTAAACTTCATGAACCATACAGTACATTGAAATCTCCAAACGTTCCAACTTATTGAAATCACACAACAGACTTGCAAAAACTCCCCCACAAAGAAAGGACCAAAACTCAATTTTCAGAACCGTTCATTGTATGCCACCCCAGTGGACTTCAACCAAGACCCTCCTCCATGGATCAGCTCAGCCACGGTGAACTTCTTCGCCTCCGCCGAGCTGGTGATGACATGATAACCCGGCCACTTCACCTGCTTGCTTGTTCCTGCGCCCGGTCCCCTGTTCTTGTACTCCCCGTAGTATTGGGTCTTGAGGACGAAAATCGCACTTCCACGCTGACCACCCTGCTAGATCAATGTGATCACCAATGTTTGATTGCGTCACCACAGTCCTGTTGTACTCCTTCCAAGGCCAGCCTAGATACGACTTGATCGAGCCCTTGACGGGCTTGAGATCGGAGCTCGTGAACACATCACAGCTCTGGATTGAGATCCCTGTGTTCTGGTATTGGTCGATTCAACCCTGGGCTGTGACCATGTTGGACTGACCGCTTGTGGGCTTTCAGGCCACGAGCTTGCAGTTTTGCAACACATCCACCGAGTCGCCGAAAATGAAGTCCACCGCGCCCGTGATGTAGTAGTCTCGGTAGAACTGGCAATTCGCGTGAGTATAGAGGGTGTCTTGGTAAGCATCAATGTGGCACCGTTTGATGACAGTCTTGTCTGCATTGACAAGGAGCACGACTGCCTGGTGTTTCTGCGGCTCGGCAGTGTTCTGGAAACATGTGTCTTGGGCGATGAATCCATTGCCATTCACAGCTGCATTTGGTCATTATACGGATTTTGTTGAGTAAAAACTGTACTCTTTGGTCATGCTCATCGCTCCTTATTTCAAAGTTTCCATCGTTATTTACAAATATCAAAGATATGAGATGAGATTGGTCCTTACCAACAGTCACGGTATTGAATGTTGTTGTACCATCAACGAAGTTGAGGCTGCCAGTGATCACTGTCGAATCCATGCCATGGCTGATGAGCATGATGTTCGTCTTCGTCTTTGCCACCTCCACATTCTCCTTGTACGTGCCTTTCTTCACATAAATAATGTCCCGGATCTTGGCTTTGTAAGGAGCATCCGTGATCGCCTCTTGCACTGTCTTGTACTTCCCACTTCCATCCTTCGCCAACACCACATCAGCCTTAACGGCATTTGCCAGAGATTGCAGAAGACAATGATCTTTTCCCGTAACCCATGATGGAAAATGGCCGATCAAGTACTCCAGGACATCCAATTTACTCCTTCAGGAGATGAAGTAGAAACAAACATGGCTAGCAAAGTTCTTGCCCTCAATATCAAGTCGCTGAGAATAGGCTCGATCAAAGATTTAGCCGACGACGAGCCTTCAAAACAGTCCAAGCAGGTGATGTAATCTGTGAGTGAATGCTCAACCATGTATGGACATCTGCAGATGACTGAGGAGAAAAAAAGCTTTGGATTGAGTTGATTCGAATCTAGTATTCATTTATATATCCCTAAGTTCATCGGTTACGAGTCTTCTGACTCTCATACTAACTAGAAGTGAGTGATTAAAGCTTCTGACGGTCAATAAACCCAAATAACTAAAGAGAAAAGATAGACAAACTAGAAACTTCTACCTTCTTTTCTTGAAGACTCCTTTATGGAGTTTTCCAATCTATCCACAGACATTCCCATCAACTCCACGCAATCAGCCAAAGCCGCTTCTTCTCTAGGATCATTCACCCAGCGGCTCACATCCTTGGTGGCATTTATAGCGTTTTTCGTGCGGATCGCCATCTTTTTCACAAACACTTGGAGCAACTTGTTGTCGCTCATGAACTAGGCCGCACCATAGGGGACGATTTCCGAAACCATGGCTTGGCATCGAGCCTGATCTTGGCCCTTGCCGCAGATATGCACAAGAGGGGCATTAGCGAAATTGCTGGTCTTGATCAAGTGGTCTGTGATTATGGCAGATATGCACAAGAGGTTTGTGTGTTTAGCAATGGCTGAGTGGTGATTGCCATTCTGAGGAGTGACTTTAGGCTTATTGAGTTGAGCTCTCCTTTACTCTCCACTATATCAATGCACAGTCCTTATATATAGAGACGATGATTGACAATTCCTGATAAGATGCAGTTTACATGAAGCCAAAACGATGTTACATGAACCATAGAGTACAATGAAATCTCCAAACATTTCTCAATTATTGAATTCACAACACTACTTACGGAAACTTTGCTAAAAAGAAAGGAACAAAACTCATTTTTCACAACCCTTCAGTGTAAGACACTCCAGTGGACTTCAACCATGTCCCTCCCTGAATCAACTCGGCCACAGTGAACTTCTTCGCCTCTGCCGCACTGGTGATGACCCGATAACCCGGCCAAGTCACCCGCTTGCTCGTTCCTGCGCCCGATCCCTTGTTCAGGTACTCCCCGTAGTAGAGAGTCTTGAGGGCGTAATCGCCACTCCACACTGACCACCCTGTGGGATCAATGTGATCACCAATGTTTGATTGCATCACCACAGTCCTGGAGTACTCCTTCCAAGGCCGACCCAGATACGACTTGATCGAGCCTTTGACAGGCTCGAGATCAGAGCTCGCGATCACGTCACAGCTCTGGATCGAGATCCCGGTGTTCTGATTTGGGTCGGTCCGGCCCTGGGCCGTGACCATGTTGGACTGGCTGCTCATGGGCTTCCGCGCCACAAGTTTGCAGTTCTGGAACACGACGCCTGCGTCACCAAAAATGAAGTCCACCGTGCCCGTGATGTAGCTGTCTCGGTAGAACTGGCGGTTGGTGTGAGTGTAGAGTGTGTCTTGGTAGGCGTCGATGCGGCACCGGTTGATCACCGACTTGTCTGCACTGACACGGAGCGCGACTGCCTGGTGTTTCTGCGGCCCAGCAGTGTTCTGGAACCATATGTCCTGGGCGATGAATCCATCGCCATTCACAGCTGCAGTCAGACAGTTTACAGATTATGTAGAGAAAAAACTGTACTCTATGATCATGGTCATCACTCCTTATTTCAAAGGTTCCTTAGTTAATAACCATCAAAGATATGAGATGAGATTGGTCCTTACCAATAGTCGCAGAATTGAATGTTGTTGCACCGTCAACAACGTTGAGGCTGCCAGTGATCACAGTCGAATCCATGCCATCGCCAACTAGCATGATGTTTGTTTTCGTCTTGGGCACCTCCACATTCTCCTTGTATGTGCCTTTCTTCACATAAATAACGTACTGGGTCTTGGCCTTGCTAGGAGCGGCCACGATTGCCTCTTTCACTGTCTTGTACTTCCCACTTCCGTCTTTTGCCACCACCACGTCGGCATTAACAGCGTTCACTGGAGATTGCAGAAGACGACGATCTTTTCCCGTGACCCATGATGGGAAATTGCCGATCAAGGACTCCAGGACATCTGGTTTTTGTCCTTCAGGAGATGAAGCAGAAACAAACATGGCTAGAGAAGTTCTTGCCCTCGATATCAAGTCACTGACAATAGGCTCGATCAAAGATTTAGCCGATGACAAGCCTTCAAAACCATCCAAGCAGGTGATGTAATTTGTGAGTGAACTGCTCAGCCATGTATGGACATCTGCAGATGACTGAGGAGAGAAAAGTTTTCGATTGAGTTGATTCAAATCTAGGAAAGTATTCATCTAGACATCTCAATCGAAACCATGGCTCGGCATCTAGGAAAGTATTCATCTAGAAATAGTTTGTGGGTTATGAGTTTTATGACTCTCACACTAGCTAACAGTAATTGTTAAAGCTTCTGATGGTCAATAACCTCGAATAATTACCCAAATAATTACCTTCTGTTCTTGAAGACTCCTTGTGGAGTCTTCCAATCTATCCACAGACATGTCCATCAACTCCACGCAATCAGCCAAAGCCGCTTCTTCTCTAGGATCATTCACCCGGCGGCGGACATCCTTCGTGGCGTCTATAGCATTTCCCGTGCGGATAGCCATCTTCTTCACGAACACTTGGAGCATCTTGTTGTCACTCATGAATGAGGCCGCGCCATAGGGGACGATTTCCGAAACCATGGCTCGGCATCGAGCCTGATCTTGGGCCTTGCCACAGACATGCACAAAAGGGGCATTAGCAAAATCGCTGGTCCTGATCAAGTGGTCTGTGATCATGCCAAATGATGAGATGATTGCAACTAAGGAGAAGATCAGACAGAGACTTTTGCTGTGAGAGGCTTGTGTGGTTAGTAATGGCTGAGTGGTGATAGCCATTCTGAGAAGTGACTTTAGGCTTCTTGAATTGAGCTATCTTTGCTCTCTACTTGTGTACCATATCCATGTATAGTCTTTATATAGAGAAGATGATACTAATATGATAGATAATTTCTTATTTTCTTTTCAATGGGTATTTTTTTATTAATATTTGGTAGAAAAAGTTAAAAGTTGAAATTGAGATGATTGAGCTTTACTTTATTTATTGATGCCAGCGCCTAAAGGATCACAAATTGTTTAACTTTACCACGTTTGGCGGGAAAATTGTCAAATCAGTCCTAAACCTATTGTACGGCGGCCAATTCAGTCCTAAACCTTTTAAGTTTGCTAATTCAGTCCTAAACCTTTGAAATTCTTGCCAATTGAGTCCTTCCGGTCAATTTTGGCCGGCCAACACTGATGTGGCCGCTGGCCGGCGCTGGCCGTCCGGTTAACGCTGACGTGACAATTTTTAATTATTTTTTTTCAATTTTGTAATCTTTTTTTTTCTTTTTTTTCTTTTTTTTTCTGCTTTCTTCCCTCTGGCCGGTCCGGCGACCGGCGGCCGGCCAGAGGGGAGGGCCAGCGAGGCCTCTGGCGAAGCTCGCCCCACCGGCCACCGGCGAGGGCGAGCCTCGCCTCGCCGTCGCGACCCAGGCTCGACCTCCCCTCGACCTCGCCTCGCCCAGCCAGGGGCCGGCGAGGCTTGCCCTCGCCGGTGGCCGGCGGGGAGAGCTTCGCCAGAGGCCTCGCCGGCCCTCTCCTCTAGCTAGCCGCAGGACCGGCCAGAGGGGAGAAAGCAGAAAAAAAAAAGAAGAAAAAGAAAAAAAAAGATTAAAAAATTGAAAAAAAATAATTAAAAATTGCCACGTCAGCGTTGACCGGACGGTCGGCCAAAATTGGCCGGAAGGACTCAATTAGCAAGAATTTCAAAGGTTTAGGACTGAATTGACAAACTTAAAAGGTTTAGGACTGAATTGGCCGCCGTACAATAGGTTTAGGACTGATTTGACAATTTTCCCTTAAATAAATGGCAAAAATATCGTTTAAATTAGGGGTGAAAACCCGGCCCAATTTGATTCGGGAATCAAACCGAACTGGCCCTACTGGACCGATTCCAAGTAGGTTCACATTGGGACCGATTTGGTTACCAGGTAAAAGATTTGGCAATCAGCTTTAAGTGATTTGGTTCCCGGTTCTATATAGAGAGCAGTCAGTTCTCGAGTAGAACTGGTTTTGAACAGGGATCGAGGGTTCTATGTTAGGCACTATTGCATCTGCGCCAATTCCCATTCTATACCAGCAACTATTGGTTTTCGGCTAAAACCTGTCTTAAATCAGTTTACAATCAACCTTAGTTCTTTTATGTTCAATACGTAAGTATTTTATTTGATCTCATGTTTATTTTTTTATGGAAAAATTTTACATTATAAGTACAAAATAAATATGCTTGAATAAAAAATGAAGCAAAAAAAAAAAAAACTAGGCCGATATCGCTTCGGTGTTTGGACCAAAAACTAGAACCAACTATGATAGAGTAGGTTCCTCATCCTTTGATCTCCGGCCTACCTACCCCAAAACCATGAGACTCCTAATTCAAAGCACATTTGAAGTTTAGTCCCTTAAGCGAGTCCTTATTTGATTCTTTAGCTCTTACTTTTTGTTTTTCTAATGATACATCATTCGGGGTGCATTCTTTTTTTTTTTTTTTATAATCGAGGTGTCCGCGCAGCCGGCGAGCTAGGGCTCAAACCAACGGTGATGCCCGACTAGTCCTCAAGGGGGGCTAGCGCAGCATCCCACCGCCACAACCCCCCACTTAAATCACCGATGGGCGAGTTTGAACCCAGGATCTCTCGTGAAAAAAACTGAGCGCAAACCAACGCGGCCACCGATGGGTGGGTTCGGGGTGCATTCTTTTTTCCTGAGGAAAAATGGAAACTTTTAGCTAATTGAAAGTAGGATTAGTCTATTCAATAATCGACTCCACTAAGCATATCCTTAGATGCTTTAGAGTCCTCCACCCCATTGTCCATCATAATGACCGCAAACCTTTGCGAAAGCATGATCGCAATAATGATGTTTGACTCCCTAGTGTTTACCGAGAGCCATCTTTCTTTTCTTTTATTTGCCCAGGCATTGAATGTTAATTTTGATAGTACTACTATATACACAAAAAATAGAAAACATATCACTTTTTTTTTCTCAGACGATGCCCCCAACATCGAAGTAAATGTACACGACATTTCTCTACAGTACGTGACATGAATTTGTCCAATCGATATAGCACTTAGATAGCATCTTAAGTTAGGTTTTGCGCATCGAGCTAAATCGACCTCTCTGATCTTACCATAATCAAGTTATCCTCATTCCTCACCGAGATTGGCGAATTCGAAAGGCGATTACTTTCTCTCTCGTCATGTAAAACACAAAGCTAGATCATCTTGGTGAAGTGGTGAATGATTGAGCCTTTAGAATATTTGCAGCACTGGGAACATCCTCTAGTCTAGTCCACTTTATATAAAGTTTCAACTTTTGTTTGTCCTTTGAAAAACCCAGATGTAGACAAGGCATTATCCAATAGGGTTTGTCCAATTCTTAAAAGTCCAATGTGGACATCAACTTGTTTAATCAAACCCAGAAAATTCTCAAATTCAAAGAGCATGTGATGTCCATCATCATTCCCACCCCCACCGCCACATCTACCAACTCTCATCTGCCAAATGGGGTTCTAATAAATTCTTCAGAAAGGATAGAGACGCGTTGGAAAAACCCCTTACTATAATGTAAATCTGTCCAAAAGAAAGCATGTGCCATCGGTGATTGATGAGGACAAAACAAAAGACATAATGAATGCCATTGGCACTACGCGATTCCCGGATAAGATATCTGCAGAAAGATTCTGCGATTTCATCTGCAAACCTTTTTGAACTTTGGCTATGAATTGTTTTTTCTTTAGCAAATTCACAGGGAAAGAACTGGATCTGGCCTTGGACTAGGGGAAGTTTTAGGGAGAAGTTGACCGACATGGTGCCACATCCTTGAATAGATCCATGCCTTGGTAGTTATGCAAGTCTTGTTTCTCTAACTTGCAATTTTCCTGATTGCCGTTGTCCGAAGAATTTCTTTGTTCGGTTGTGAACTTGCGATGGACCCAGAAAGCGGAATAATTGCCCAAAAAATCCTACACTTATTATATGGCGATTATCTTAAACTTGTTATATGGTGGCTCATTTAGTTCTAAACCTTTCATTTGCGCCAATTTAGTCATAAACATTTCGACGATTTGTCAATGTAATTCTAAATCTTTCAATGATGTGTCAATGTAGTCTTTTTGATAACTTTTGGCCGAGAATCGCAAATGTGGCAGTCCATCCTCTGCAGCACGGTCGGCATTAATGTTGAAGATTTTTTCAATTTTTTTGATTTTCTTTTTCTTTTTTTCTTTTCTTTATCTGTTTTCCTTTTTTCCTATTTCCCTCCGCCTGCCGCCAGTGACCTCCGTTCACCATCGCCAAGGGCTGGCGACCGGCGGAGGCAAATAGGGAAAAAAGAAAAAAGATAAAGGATAGATAATGAAGAGCAAAAAAAGGAAAAATTCAAGAAAAAAATTATCATTCACATAATACCAATCGTGCTACGTAGGACGGTCAGCGTCCATGTTAGCAATTTACGATTAGAATTGATCGAAAGGATTAAATCGGCACAAATTTTTCGATCAAAAAATAATTGGCATAATTAAAATATTTATGACAAAATTGACCACCACACAATATATTTAAAGCTTTTTGAATAATTTTCTTCCTTCGAAACAGCAAAATGATCATAAGCTCGCATGTCTTTAGTGAGGTCTCATGTTGCTTCTCTTCATGCTTGCTATTCTGTGCATGAAGTAACTAGGGTCTGACGTCGCAGAGTTTTAGTCTCCGTACAATCATTCTACGGTAGATTCTTACGTTGCTCTTGGTAAATTCACTTAAGATGCTCCATGGATGAACGCTAGGAACAAGTACCTTGGGACTACTGTCAAGCGAATGAAACTGCTCGAGATGCCATCATCGTGATGGATGGCAAGAGACCCAGGCGAAGATGATACGGGATTCACAACCTCTGAATGAATGCGTGTATCGTTGCGTTCAGAAGAAGCCAGAAAGGCCTGCGAACTTGGCACAGAAAATTTCAGGAAGCACGCACTCCAAGAGAGAACAAGTGTTTTCTTGACAGCATACCGACATGCTGTCCAAATCATACAATGTTTTTTTCACGGTGAGCTTAGAAACAAACCTGGAAGATGGTTGAAGTATTAAAAAACTGAAATATTGATTTCTATGACAAATTATAAGTGAGTTATTCCACACTGAATGAATAACTCTGTCGTGTTACTTTGTTAACAGGCATTAATATAACTAGCATCTTTCATTGCTGGATGCAAATTTCTTTAGAGTGCATTTGGTTCAACTTTCTCAAATGGCTTTCGGCTTCTAAAGCTTTGGCAATCTATTCTAATGGGCTTTCGGCCAAATGCTGACCTTGAGAAAGCTAAAAGCCCAATGTTGATAGGGACTAACATTGGGCTTTCGGCATTTGGCCGAATATCAAAGCTAGTTTTTTTCTTCCCAAACTACCCTCATCAATTCTCTAATTTTTCGATTTTGCCTCTAGTTGTGACTGCTCATCTTCCTTGCGTGAAGGAAGCTGACGAAGGCCAACGAGGCTAGATCGAGCCGGCAAGCTCGCACGACCCAGGCGACTCTTGCTTGGGGTCACGCGACCTCGGCGATGGCCACCCAGGGTCGCGTGACCTTCGCCGAGGTCACACGACGGCACCAGATCTGGCTCGCTGGTGTTGGCGAAGGGTTTGATTTTTTAATAAAAAAAGAGAAATTAAAACCCAAAAGCCCTTTGCCAAAGAAAAAAAAAACTTGCCAAACATTACTTATGCCAAAGTAGCTTTACAGAGAAATTTTTATCAAACGTAATTTTGTATTTCCTCAATGGTCTTTAGGACAAAAGCATTTGCATTTCCCCAATGTCCATTTGCAAAGCTGAACCAAACTCACCGTCCTATTGCAAAGTACTTCAAGAACAAATGTAGGCATGCTCAGATCTGTTGCTTTTGTCGTCAGCCCTTGCAACAACAAACACGGCAGATCTAACCGAGATTTAAGCGGGGAAATCCAGCATACTGTGGAAATTGTCAATCCAATCATTGTTTATCTCACTTCAGCTTCAGTAAAGACAGACCTTTTCCAAGGTGTTCACTAATCTGTACGTACTTTCAACATCTATGCATTTACTTGCCATTAGAAGCTAGGGATGCGCAAAAAAGGGGAAACCATCCGGAACTAGACCGGCGAGTACCGGTCCGGTTTCTGGTTTCGGGTGTGGAACTACCCACCCGAATCAGATCGGTATATATATAAACCCATCCACCCACCTGAATCAGATCGGTATATATATATCATTTTTTTAAATTTTTATGAAGAGCATCTATATGCTCCTGAGTTTGAAGTATTTGAGCCTGTCGATGACCAAGTGAGTTCAATTTCAGCTTGGAGGGCTCTTTCAGCAAGTTCGATTCTATGGGCCAGATGAAAATCAGGGGAACCTCTTATGGATGTTTTCCCATGACTGGGCAAATAACTTGGGTGCTATGGGCATCTCTGGTCTAAAATACTTCAAACCTGAAAGGAGATGATGGGCCAAGGGATTGTTAACTATAGGTGTTGAGGCGAATTGGTTCGTGGTCCAATTGCGCAATTGCAGTGAAGTGACAATGGCTTTCAAAAGCTAATGACGCCAGTCTGGATTGGAGTTGCACCTGTCAACTGTTCAGAACACCCGAGAATGAATTTGTTTGGGACATTTCGACCCGTTCCAATTTTTCGGAACCGGTCCTTAATGGACAGTTTCCGGTTCTAGGGTGGGAATCACCCCTATCAGAACTTGACTAATGAAAATGTGTTATATTAAACAATTTGAGCAACACTTTTCTACATGTGAGTTCAGCTTTTAGGAATGAACTGACATGAAAGCAAGTGAGAGCTTTGAAGCTAATAATAACATGTGATTTAGCTTCCAAAGCCTTCTCTTCAACCTATCCGATCGCTTACTAAACATCACTTGCTAATTTCAGGGAGGAGAAACAGAAGGTAGAGGCGTGTGTATAACACCACACCGCAGTATCTCTCATATCATGCAGGTTCAATCTGTTCGCTAATGTCAAAGCAGGTAACAAGTCTGTTTCAGAGAAGCTAGTCCTAAGAAGAATCATCCAGAGTAATTATATCCATCAAAACAAAATCAAGGAAACTGCAGTTAATTTATGACTTGTTTTATATAAACCTCAAGAAGCGCTTATCAAAAAACAACAATGATAAGTAAACTTCACGACCCTCTTTCTCCTCTCTCTCTCTGTCCCTAACTTTGTAAAGTCACCTCTAATATCACATCAAACTGGTTCCTATTATACCTTATCTTAGCATTCCTGCATGACTGCCAAACCTCCATCAGACCTACTGATCCACTGGAGGTTCTACTGCCATCGTCGTGTCATTCCTACTTCGTTCCCATTCCTGTCCTAAGCCCATCTTCACCAGCTCATGCGGGTGTTTCATTTTTCACAAACCAAAGTGGTCAGTTGATGCCCAAAGGAAATTAAGATCAACTGCATTCGATGTTGAAGAGAACGACTTATTAGTTCTATTTGATCCACTGAGATCATATACTTGTTGGTATGCACTATGCACCCATGTTTTCACAAAAAAGTTTCTAACTGAAAGAGGTCACCGCCATTTTGCTTCTGTTCCAGGTGGAATTCCTTCTTGCCACCTGTCCATCTTCAAGGCAAACTAGTATAGTTTGATCATAACATTAAGAGCGGACGACCTCAAAAGCATTGAACATCAAGCTATGTGATCCGCATATCCATCGACTATCCTAATCAAAGTTAAAAGCTCTCAAAATGGTGGACGTGTACTTCAGATCAACAAATAGTGTTTCCGTGCAAATGGGAAACAGACAACAGTAAGAATTCTCTTAATTCATCTCACTTGGAAGGAAACCACTCATTCAGGAGCAAATGATAGGCAGCCCACGGGTAAAAAGAAATGCGCAATGCACAACTACCCACTACCCAACACTTTGACATTGACAACAACTAGAACTATGGAGGGTACAAGAAGCACCAAGGACTTTTAACTAAGTAGATCCAAAATAAAGTATATGACATACCATTTGGAAAGGACAAAGTATAAATACAATAATAACGAAATTGAATGCAAAAACAGCAAAAGGCATGCGAGCAAGATGGATGGAGGGGGGATTGCATCTGGTGTCAAGCCAATTGGCTCAAGCTTAAGAGAAGACACAGAAGGTTTGCAATAAGAGCAGCTAAGTCACATGGGACATTCTTTATCAAGCCAAACTCTCTTAGATTTGGAAGTTCTCACATAGATAATAAAGACATTCTTTGTCAAACCAAACTTTCTTAAAATTGTAAGTTCTTCCTTTAAAATGAACTATGAACCTCAATTTGTGTTCCGGATTTTGTGAAATTCTTTTAGAATCAAAATGAATACAATTATGAGTAAATTAGACGATTTGAAAGCTTTAAACTACACAAGATTAAGCATTTGACCCAACTGAAGGACATGTTACTCTTCTATTCAAGCAAGAAGGGTTAAATGGGGGACTGCATCAGGCATCAAGCCAATCATCTCAAGTTTAAGAGAAGACATAGCAGGGTCAAAACAAGGGCAGCTAAGTTACTTGGATAAGAACGACATGGTCATATATCAAAGTGTACATGAAACGAGGGCACTGGAGCTGAGAATGTTTGGGCAGCTGTCTAGATATCCAGGAAAGGATGAAGTTAGGGATAAGCATCATTGGAAAAATTAGATTCGCCCACTATAGATAAATAATGATGAAAACCTGCTTACAGGGATTTTGACACAAGAAAAGGACAACCTAGAGACATCTCATTAAGAAGTTATCTTATTGTAGTAGAGCATGTTGAAAAGATATGAATTGAAAAGACAGACAAGAACCATAAGGAGGATCTTCGGTTTAAGAACTCTATGGAGGAATTAGTTCCTATCAGTGTCAGGGGATGATTTTCTTTTTGCTTTCCACACACGCAAAAGAAAAAGGAACAGAGTATGATGGCCTAAGCAGGTTCATGTGTTAGACCTTACCAGCCACCATTGTGATGAAAGGTTGTGGCAGTGCAGGTGGCAAGAGGTTCAACCAGCCTGGTAAAGCCTCACATTCCAAAAAGCCAAAAACCTTAGAAGTAAAGTGATGTGTCTTTCCAAGCAAAATTTCTTATGGTTAGTGTCCTAAATCCGGGATCACCGGCAAATGCATATTGTTCTATTCCCACAAACTAATCTCATATTTCATTGCTCACCAAAAGGCCCCAGGTATCAGCTACACCAGAAGATTGAAGGTAAATAAGGACATGTCGGTCTTAAAATCGACCGTTACATGGGCGCATTCCACACTGCCCTTATCCAAACAAAAGATTAGGAAATTCGCTGTCATTCTCAAAAATTTCTGTAAGAGTTCCTCACACTCACAGTCATCAGCTGATGGACTTTCTCTTGTCCAACACCCACGACCAGAGTCCAGCTTGTTTCCCCAACCACTTAACGCGTAAAGGAAAATAAATGCTCAACATTTAGCTATCCATAAGATCCACTGAGTATATAAGCTTCATTGCAAAGGCCCGATTCATCTTGATATTAACATGCAGTCCAGATATAAGCGGGATCAAAGCTAGTCATAAAAGACATGACGGGCATCGGTACATAATCAACAACTAAATCCTTCTGTAATCAAGCATTCCATAGCCGTCTGTAAAAGCTAACACTCGCAGACAACCTCAATATTATTCTACAAGTAAGATTCCATCATCAAAATCCAGAAAGGAAAAGAGTTCGAACCAGTGAAATCAATTCCAACCGGAAGGCCAGAACCCATGAATTCCATACCCAGTCTTCCAATTATCCAAGTACACCACCTTCTTCACAGCCCAGAAACACACCAAAAGTGCGGAGCCCATGATCAGCCTCTGCACATTCAGATTCCTCACTCTCACCAGCAGATGCGTCATCAACGCCATCAACAACCCAACAATCGTGTAAAGGAACCCGACCGCGAACCCCTCCGCCCCGAGCTGCATCCCCGAACCCTGATAGAAAAACACCAGCTTTGACGGATCGTTCCTGTCCACCAGAAACATGGGCATCTTCCTAATAATGTTGTGCATTGTGCCCGCAACGCTGAAGAAGTAAACAAACACGGCACCGACGAGCCAAACTCTCTTGTCGTGCAGCAGCGTCTCCCCCGCGAAGACCTTCTTCGCGGCGAACGGCAGCCAGATCAATATCAACGCGCAGACGATCGTGATCTGCATCTTGGACAGCATGGGCGGGCGGGCGATCGGGCCGACCCGGAGCCTCGTCCGCGACTCGACGAACTCGGACATCGACTCGGCCATCCGCGAGAAGTCCCCCTGGTCCATCTGCTCCGAGTCCTTGAGGCTCCGCACCTCGGGCCCCACGAGGCGGATGTGGGGGAGCGAGTTGACCCCGAACTGGGCGAAGCTGGACTGGGACTCCTTGAACTCGAGGTCGCAGAAGAAGAGCTTGGACCGGGAGGCCGGGTCGCCGGCGTTGTTCGCGGCGAAGGCGGCGGCGAGGAGGGAGAACTCGCGGCGGAGCTCCGGGAGGTGGAGCTCGGACTTGTCGTGGAGCTGGGTGGCGTCGAAGAAGACGAGGAGGGAGTAGGAGCGGGGGGGCTTGGTGGAGGTGAGGAAGCGGGAGATGGAGTGGTCGTCGAGGTGGATGACGCCGGATTTGGATCGGGACTGGAGGGCCAGGAGCTCGGCCGCCCGGTCGGAGTCCGAATCGGCGGCGGCCGGGGTCGCGAGGAGGAGGAGGAGGGCGGCGGCGGCGGCGAGGAGGAGGCGGCGGAGCAGGGTTTCGCCGGAGATGGTCGCCATCGCCGCCGATCGAGGGAGGAAGAGAGTGGTTTTTGGGGGAAGACGACCGGAGGAGTGGTGTCTAGGTCGTTTTGGGAGACTGCTTGACTTGTTGCCGTGGAATTTACGAAGATATTCGCGTTTTACGACGCGTCGTTTTGCCCGTGGATTGGTTGGCCGTCGTTTTTGCCCGGCCCATGGTCGTTTCGCCTATTAATTGATTGGCATTGATTGTCGTCTGGTAGATAGGGGTGAGCGTGGATGCAGGGTAGAACTGAGAACCGAACCGGCCATAAGAACCGGTGGTTCCAGCAGTTACCGATTCGATTCTCAATTCCAAAAAAGTGGAATTGGAACTGTGCAATTTGGTTCCTTGTTCTTGAGTATAAACCCAACTAGGAACCGAAGAATCGAATTAAGAACCGATGAAGTGGAATGAATATATGTGGTAAGGTTTTCTAGTAATTATTTTAGTTTAATTAATAGTAATTATAATTTAGAACTATTATTAAGTGATTAACTATGTTTGTTTCTTCTTTTGATTTCAAGTGATTAGAATTTGGAGCAATTTTTCATGGATGATAAAGAACTGAAGTTCTATAATTTAGGTTTTATATAACGAGTTTTGAACTTTTTATTATTATATTTTGTTTTACATGTTCATCTTTTGTGGATTATTGCTATTGATAAATGAAAACTTTTGTTGTCGCGTTCACTTTCATTGTGCTTAACTAATAATGAAACAAAAAAAGAAATTGGCCGGCCCTCAAATCGATTTATAGGATGGGTTCCAGGCAAGGTGCGTAGAGTACGCCTCAAATTCTAAAAAGTGGGAAACCGATTCCAATGGCGTAGGTTCCAGGTGGAAACCGTGCCAACCTTGAAACCGCTCACCCATAATGGTAGGGATGGGCATGGCCCAAAGAATCTATGCCCTGCATCCCCCAGCCGTGGACCTACCTTACCTTGTTTGTGTATTTTAAGCTAAATATATAAAAATATTTGTAAGTAATATATCAAAACATAGATTATTATACCATATAATTCATTATAGTTTATCACCCGTTTAATATTATGCTATCAAATGAATAAGTAGAGTTAAGCTCGTGAAATCATGATACTTTTGTTAATTATAGATTATAAAAACAAATTTAAAGTAGCATAATTTGCAATTATTGGGAAACCCTAACAGTTATATATTTCATTTTTGATATACAATTTCAAAAAAGTAAATGAAAATTTTCTCCCCGGATGTGCCCTCTTGCCGCACAAGGCACACGAGGCAAAGTTCCGTCCGACAGGGTAAGAAACGGCGAATGCAGTCCTCCGTACTGCCCCGTGGCCATCCCTATTTTCCGGTCGCCGAGTTGAGACTTAGAATCATCGTTATACTCAGACTTCATCTCAGATAGTCAATAAGATGGTTCTACAATTTTTCTAGGAACCTTGCTCTACAGCTTTCATTTTACCATATTTCTCTATGGAATGACTGCAAAATATACGTGATCGTGTTGTGACAGGATATGACCGCGGATTAGCGCTTCAAGAGACTATAGAAGCACAGTCCAATTTGCGTAGTTTGCATGTAACCGACTCGTGCTCAAGCTCCATTGTTCCTGAATGATTGGGGAGTGAAGCTCTAAAAAGACACCAACCCAGAAACCAAACCAAGCCAATTTCTATTCCAACTCCAATTGATTGTGCAGTGCAACAAGCTTTTGCTCCAGTTTCATCAACAAATGTATGTCATCCTGTTATGGTCTATCATAGCATCAACAGTAGAGCAACGTGAACATCAGGAAAGTTTGGATCCACATTGATCTGATTCTTCTCTGAAATGCTTTGTACTTCTATAGCAAAACCATAAATCAGATCCGAACCAAAGAAGATCGTATTAAACATGGCCCGGCCTGAACCCAAATGCTTCCTTGTTTCATAACCATTGTGAAACTGGAACATGGCCAAGGATGAACATCTTCCAGCTATATGGTTAAGCAACAGCAACCACAGTTTAATATCATCTAAATCCTGATATTAAACGTTTATACGATGCTTTGTCGGGTTTAAGTCCCATTTCCAACATCTCATCATGGTATGTCATGGCCTTTCTCAGCTCCTTGATGCGGCAGAGCCCACGAATCATGATTGAAAAGCTTGCGCTACTAACCAAATCTCTTCTCCTCATGTGATCGAAAATCCTAACTGCTTCGTCAATGTCCCTCCCTCTGAAGAGGGCTTCAATGAGTATATTGTAAGCACTTTCATCCAAGTTCGACTCTAGTTTCTCTATCTTATTATGTAAGGCTACAGCTTTACTCGTCTGCCCAATCGAGCAGGAACGCTTCACCAAGGAGCTACAACAGAACGTATCCAGCGACAGTCCCTTCTCTAATATGAGATTCAACAGATCCTCCGCTTCTTTCCATCTCCGCTTCCTACATTGGGATGCTAAAAAGTTCGACAATCCCGAATGGCGAGAAGAAAGGCCTCTCGTGATAAGTTCTCTCACCAGCTGACTCGTTTCGTCCAACGGATCTTCCTCACAAAGAAGATCCAAAAACGCATTATAACAGCTATCGTTCACAACAATACCCCTTTCATTGATCAGTCTATACATTCTAATAGCTTCCTTTACTCTGCTTTCTTTGGACATTGCCCGTAGCAAACAACCATAAGTAGCATTCAGCAATTTAACCTTGTTTTCACGAGCCTTCTCAAAGAACATCTCTGCAGCATACGCCTTTCCCAAGTCACTAAGTTTCTGAATGACCGAATCATAATCCAGCAATGAACTCGGCGAGAGAAATCCCTTCTCTACCATCTCCCCAATTGTTTTCTCAGTGACATTGACATCTCGATGTCGGCAGGCCCCATCAAGTATTGAGCTATAAGTACCAAATCCTGCTTCAACTCTTCTATCACACATTTCAGCTAACCGACCAAATGCAGCACCAAACTCCCCATTCTTGCTATAATGATCAATAACAACATTATACAGCACTGAACCATAGATTCCCAAATCTAAGAGAGCAACAATCCTACCAAATTTCCCACCTTTACTCAAAATCTGAGCAATAAGAGACCATGTAGCTCGATCTTCCAAAACATGTCCTCGAATCATGGCGCCATAAAAGCACCACGCCAATGTGATTTCGTCCTTTCGCTGCAAAGCATCAAGCAATGCATTACACGCATCGACCGAAGGCGTCAATCCACACACTCTCATTTTCTTGAACACCTCCAAACCCCCAATAGACAGACCATTATGCGAATACCTCTCAACGACAAAGCTCAACGTGCTAGACTGACAAGAATCGCTACCTTCGGCCGCCCTCATCATCGAATCTGCAATTCTCGACGCCGAGTGAGCTTTAGCTAGCGAATCCAAAATGGGTCTCGCCGGCGGTGGATCGCCCGACCCGACCAGCACACGGACCATGTGGCAGTGCGACCTGAGGTCTGCTTCGAAACCCAATCTGGCCTTGACCCAGTTGAAGAAACCGAGAGATATTTGCGGGTTCGTCTCGATTCTGCGCAGGACACGGAGGAAGAGAGGTGGGTCCAGGTGGGAGGAGAGGTCGAGGGTTTCAAGAAGAGGAACCCAGTTCCGCCGCTGAAGGAGGAGGGCGGAGATCTGCGAGGCCAGCTGATGCTGCTTGATTCGAGCTCTCCAAGGGAGGATGTTCGTGGAGGTTGAGAATGATTTGGCGATGAAGACATGATTTTGGAGAAGCATTTGTACGAAAGTTCAAGATTTCGGGACGATGATGATGCCATTGAGCTCTGTTCCGGCGGAGGGAAGAAACAGACCGCACACTACACAGAGCTTAGGGATGACGACATAAATGGTTGTTAAATTTCGGCTCAATATATAACGAAATTTTTAAATTTTTAATTTATTTAATGTGATTCTTGAACTTTAACTTTACATTCAATATAATTTTTAAAGTTAAAATTTGTTCAATATAGTCTCTGAATTTTTTGTATATATTCAAATTAGTCTTTGAATTATACAAAAATGTTCAATGCTCTCTCCAAATCTAAATTAATGAAAGGATACTAGGAACTAATTTGAATATGTATCAAAAGTTCAAGAACCATATTGAATAAATTAAAAGTTCAGAACCATAGTTTTTTTTTTGGATCAGAAGTCCAGGACCATATTAATTGTATCAAAGTTCAAGAACTATTTATGTCATTTTCCCTTTCATTTTCTCATTAAAAAAAAAGGAAATATTTCATTTGTTTTAAGGAAAATAGGATGAATATGGCTTTACATTCTCACTTTTGTATTAACCCTATCTGTGAAATAATCATTACACATCGTCACTATACTGAATAAAATATATAATATAATCTTAAAATTAGCTTATTACCTCAAAAAATTTTCCCATAAAACTATGCCTAATAATAACATGAAGAATGAATCCCAAGCTGAAGTTAGATCAGATTAAGAACCAATGATCGTACAAAACTTTCAAACATTTTATTATATTTACAAAATCCCGGGAATAAATCTTAAAATAGCTTTCGAGCTCAATTATTCTTTTTTCTAGAAATCCATTGAGAAGGCCCAATACATTTTATATGTTTTATAGAATGATAATTTAAAAATTTGTAAATTAAGAAGGATGAAAGAGGTCCAATAAAAATTGACTGACTATAGGTCTCGTGGATTCTCAACATTTTGTCAATAAGACATATTTCTAAAAGGAAAATAGAAAAAAGTTGTTATGCAAAATCAAGTAGTATCACACTTTTCTGATCTCCCCTTATCCTATAAGCGACGGGAGATGAAATTGGATTCCCAAATTAATTAAGATGTTAAATGATATTCCCCATTCATTCTTTTTTATTAGTAGTTTTGCCAAATCTTTATATATCACTAGAGAGAAAATTGTCCATTGGTAATTGCTAAGAGTACATCCCTGTTATATTTTCAAATATTAAGAAGATTATAGATAGTTTCTAAAGTCAACTTAAACAGATCATTTTTAAGTTTATTGTCGATACTTGATATTATGCGGAATTAGTGTTGTGTTTTTGAGTGTGACATTAGATTCAAGTGCCCTCTATAATGTATATCATAATACTCTTCATCGTGTATTTTCTTGCCTA